TCTACCCGCGGAATGTTTGTTGTTGCTGTCTTTTTTTCTTACCGCGCGAAGGGTTTGCACCAGATTCTTCCGAGGTTTGGTCTTGGGTCCTGTGGGCCGCGGGCAGCGTCCTCGCGCCGCCGGCGGGCGATCTCGCGCTCGGCAAACCGTACGTCCACTGGCGGCGGCGTAGTGGCGCTTTCGCCGGCCCGGATAGGAGCGTCGCCGCTCGCTGGTGCTGTCCAGGTGAGGTGGGCCGGTCCTCGTCGATGACGAGCGGTCGTGGCCCCGATGTTGACGAGGCGTCGTCGTCTTGGAAGTCCTCGACCTCCCGCAGCAGATTGTCCAGGTACTCGTCAAGCCCCTCCTCCTCCGGGACGTGTACGGTCGGGGGCGAAGGTGGGGAGGCCCCGACGGCCTCGTCGTCGGAGTTATACACCTCGGCGAGGTGTCTCAGGGCGCTGCTGCTGGCCGGTGTGTTGTGGGGCCCCTGCGCCGGGGACGCTGCTCCCTCCGTGCTGCGTTGTGTTGGTGGGTCCTCTCGTCGAGCCCGTTTCGCGGCGCGCGGGCGCGGGCTGCGCGGCGCGACCGCCTGCCGTGCTGGCCCGGGCGCGTCGACGGCGGCGGCGGCTGCGGCCGCGGCGGGCTGCGCCGGCTGGCCCGGCCGTTCTCTGGCTGCCGTGGTGCCGGCGCGCTGCTGGGGTTGTTGTTGGTTCGCCGGTCGTCCGGTCTCGGATGTGCGGCGGGCTCCGCGGCGTGGCTATCTGCTGCGCCGGTCCGGGTGCATTGATGGCGGTTGTGGCCCCGGCGGGTTGTGCTGGCTGCTCCGGTCGCCCCCCGGCCACTGCTGTGCCGGTGAGCTGGTGATGGTGCAGCTGGCTTGCTTCCGGCCGTTGTAATGTCAGGATGTACTGCGGGGCTAGGAGGCGTCCCGCGTATGTACCTTCCGCCGTGCGCGGGTGGAGGGAGGGGGCGCCTGTTGCCCCAGGGTGGTGTTTACTTGCTTGCGGTCCCGGCCTGCTGGGCCGCGCGGCCCGCGGCGCTGGCCCTTGGGTGCTGTCGAGATGGAACTGGCGCCCCGTCTCTGATGTCCGCCCGACCAGGACGGTGCCGCATGGTGCTGCGACCGCGCTGTGGTTTGCTGGGGCCGCGCCCGGCCCCCCTTGGGGCCTTGCGTCCTGGGCTCGGTGCTGAGCCGCGGGCCTCCTTGCGGGTACCGCGTCCAAGCTTAGCCGGAGCGGTATCCCGGCCGCGTTGCGGAAGATCCGCGGCGCGTCCTGGTTGGTGCTGTGTATTCGCACTTGCGCCCTGATATCCAATTGCACAATTTCTGACCGGCTACGCGGCCCCCCCGGGGGTGGGCAGTGGCAAGGCACGCTTGCTAGTGCCATGCGGGCCACGCACGGCACGCACTGTGAATCGCTGTACCACATTACTGTCCGGAGTTTAAGCTCTGACTGAATTCCTGGTCCTGGTGCACTCCTTGTGCGTGCCTAGCGCGTGCTGTCCGTCTGCTGGTGCGGCCGCGGCCGGGCGCCGAACGGGTGAGGGGGGAGGAAGGGGGGGGATGTCACTGCTGATTCGGTTGCGTCGCGGTCCCGAGGCCGGGCTAGCTCGTGAGCCGAAGGTGGCCGGCCGGGCCGGGCTACTTCGTTTTGGGGTCGGTCGCGTCTTGGTGAGGTGAGGGGGGTGCGGGTGGGGTGAGTACGCGTGGGTGAGCCTGATAGTAGATGATCATGTTAGATTTTGATTTTCGGAATGTTTGGCTTAATATTGCTGTTATTAATTTTCGAGGGGTCTGCAACTCGCCTCAGCCGTGTACTTTTGAGT